TCTCTTTACCGAACGGTAAAAAATAACTTATTATTTTTTTTCATTATAGTTGTATATAGATATTGATTTGGGGTTGAGGTCAAGAGGTTGGAGATTAAGTGCTGACTTGATTTTCTTTTTGGGTACTTATTAAGGTTTTAAAAATCTACAATTTATAAATTAGGGGCTGAAATATTAAGTCTAGGAATTGGATTGAATTTTATTTTTAGACCACTTCATTATAAGTAAAATAGAATTAAGTACATAAAAAGTAGTATTACAAGTAGCTTGTACGACAAAATCCAATACAAAATAAAAAATTGTATTTATTTTAATCTAACTAAAAACTTATGCTTTAAAATTATGTAGATAAAAAAGATTAAAAGAGTATAAATATATAACGAACATAGTCAACGTGCAAGGCATGTCATAAAAAAAAAAGAGCAATAAATATAAAAAGTGAGAATGATTGCGATTGTCAAAAATGCTTCTACTAAGTTTATAGATTGACAAACATATCATTAATGATTTTAATTTGATCGATAGAAAAGATAAAGGTAATTAAATTTTGTTCGGTATATTCATTTTCTACTTAAATTTAAATTCTATTAGATAAAATAAATTTCAATTTTCTACTTTAAATTTAAAATCTATTTAGATATCAAAATAAGAAATTTATTATAATTAATATATAAGTATATAATTAGAAGGTATATATTAAATATGGTAAGAATATAAATATTTTCAAGAATTTTAATTTTTTTAATTGAAAAAATAATGGTGATTTAATTTTGAGTGGTATATTAATTTTCTATTCAAATCCAAATTTTGTTTGATAAACTAAGAAATTATATATATATTTTTTGAAAATAAAGTAAGAAATTATGTTACACACTAATAAGATATGTATTATATATAGTAAGGACATAATATCTTTAAAAATTTTAATTTTATTGGTTGAAAAAAATAAAGGTAATTTAATTTAATAAGGTACATAAAATAGTAAGAATATCATATATTTAATTATTTGGTTGAAAAAAATAAAGGTAATTTAATTTAATAAGGTACATAAAATAGTAAGAATATCATATATTTAATTATTATTTTTAATAAATCTTTAATTTGATTGGTTATAATTTTTTCCTACACATAACTTATTCTATAGAAAATAATGTAGTTTATTATTATTTATTAAACAGCATATTATAAAGAATTATTTTGATATAAAATAAAAAATGAAACTCACTAGAAATATATAATATATTATTATTTGATATAAAATTGAAAATAAAACTCACTAAAAATATATAAAATATAGAATTATGATATAACACATTACTTTAGCAAACCATATAATACACCAAAAAATTATTTTCTCTAAAAAAGCAACCATAAAATTAATCATATGCTCGTATACTTTAGCAAAAATAAAAAAAAAATCAAATTTATAACTAATGATCTAAAATAATGATTAATATATTAATTATTATAATAGCTAATATTGATTTATCATATTTTAGCAATATAGACAGTTTATGGTATTATTTTATATAAGAAAAATTAAGTTAATTAAACGTAAATTGTTATAAGAAAATTTAAATTGATTGATAAGTAATTTTATTTTGATAAAAATTTCATTATCAATTATAATAATATTTTATTATTGCAAATATGTTATTTCCTTGATAAGTTATTTAATTATTGAGTTTTTTATTTTTTTATTTTATGAAATGTTGTTTTTTTTCTATTGTCTGGATGGTCTTAGAGTTTTAGTAATATAAACTATTCATAATATTATAACGTATATAAAAATTTAATAAAAATTACATATAAAAATTAAATTACATTTACTTGCAATGTGTAAAAATCAATGAGTATAAGTAATTGGTAAAGACGCATGCATTGTGCGAGTTATTTTTTTGTTGTATATTATACTTTTAGTTTTTAATTTAATTTATAATTTATAAGTTTGCTTGGTATATATGGTTTCATAGTCTTTATAGACTTTTCACAATTTAGAAAATTAAAAATGGTGACTTGAACAAAATATAAATTGATATATATATATAGAAGAAAAAAGAAAAAAAATATAAATTATATATAAAATTAAATTTCGCACTTTATGAAAAGAGAAAATATCTTGATTAATTCATTAAATAAATAATAAAGGATTAAGTAAAAAAAAATTTCCAAAAATTTAAAATTAATAGATAGTGATACTTATTTTAAATAAATAATAATTTTTAAAATAAAATATTGATGGCTTGTGATTGATTTCTAATAATGTAGATAATAAAATTAAAATTTTAAATTATTAGACATTTTATTTAACCAGATTAAATAAACCCTTTACATATAAATACAAGTTAAACTCATTTTATGAAATGATTCTAGAAAATTTGATGGAGATTTAAAATTGTAATATTATTTAAAATTTTATTGAATTATTTTCTTCAATGTAAATTTAAAATTATTGTATTTAGAAATAAGAGCTAAAATTTTTAACTTAGAATATTGAATAATATTATTAAATATCCCTTAATTAGTTATAGGTCTTGAACTTATTTCTTACTAACACGTTTAATTAAAAGTATGTTATGACTTCACATAAGAGTTCAAACTAATTCATTTAATTTTTAATTATGGATAATTAATTGGACCTATTTAATAAGTTTTGATTATGACATGATAAAAGTGTTTCAAAAAATTAGACCACCAATATAAATTAAATTTAAAAAATATTTTTCATAAAATAATAATTAAGTCATTTCTTATATATACAAATAATCCCTATTCATCATCTTCTTTAATTACTAATATAATTTCTATACTATTTAGTGGGGGCACCTAATTGTTTCATTTTTATTCAAAACAGTTAAAACATACGGTACATGGTTTACAGATGTCTAGTTGCCTTCTTCTCACTAGATTACCAAGGATACCCTTTTCAACTTATCTATAATTAGTTTTATATAAATAAAATGTTTCAAAAAATTAGACCACCAAAACGTATTAAATTAAAATATTATCATAAAATAAAATTAATCATTTTTATATACAATAATCCTATATCATTTTTTATATACAATAATTCTATACTATTTATTTTAGCACCTAATTGTTTCAATTCATTCAAAACAGTAAAAACATGGTACATGGTTCAATTCTGTTGCCTTCTCTCAGCACGGATACCAAGAACCCTTTTCAAGCTTATCTTTGCAGAAATCTTACAGCTCTGCACGGTAGCAATTTTCAGTCTTTTCATCCTTGATCATAAGGTTAGTAAATTTGTCCACATGAGCGAATATTTTTAATATAATTTTTCGCATCATACGTAGGCAATCCATCTCTAACGTGTTTCTTCCGATATAAAATGCTAAAATGGAACCACCATAAATTAACAACACAATGTCATAAAATTAAGACAGTGATAAATAATTCATACGAAATAATTTAAAATTAAAATCATTGTTTAATAATGTAATCATAGAGTTAAAAACTCTTCCTAATCCAGATTTTAATTTTTAATGGTACCTGCTTGATGCTCGATTAAGCTGCCTCTTGTAGCACTGCACGTTGCTCATGAAATATGGCTCTTGTGAGATCACAAGAGAAGTGAGAAAAAATGAGCTTTTATAGAGATAAAAATGAGTAGATTCTAAGAAAAATCTCTTAAATATTGATTAGTTAGAGATCAAATATTACAAGAGATATGATTAGGTTGTTAGAAACAAAGATTAAGATAAACTTTATAATTTAAATGATTAAATATAGATAACATATAATAGAATTTAAAATTTTAAAAAAAGATATTTATGCTAAGAAAAAAAAGAAAAATCTCAAAATTTCGAAAAAAAAAAAGAAAAATAGATAAAAAAGCTCAAAAATTTTCAAACATAGGGAAAATAGATTGTTGAAAAAGCAGAGAGCTAACGTCAGCATTTTAAAATTATTTTTTACTTCATGATTATATATATGTATATATATATGTAATGCACATATGAAAGACTAATTTAACTAAATATCCTAAGTCTCAAACTTTTAAGTCTTTTAATTATAGTAGTTAGCCGCTTAGCATATTTAATAGGATTTAATTTGGTCTTTTAGACTTCGAATTGGATTAAAAACTTGTATGAAATTTTAAATTATCTAATTAAAGTTTAATTTTTTTCTTATGTATTGTTCTTAATTTTTTAATATATACAGTAAGATATTTTAAACTTAACTAAATATTTATTCTCAATTATATTATTTCTCATGTATATAATAAAAGTTTTTTTTATCATCTCGCGTGCCTATATTAGCATACCTTGTATCACAAATTTATAAAATACCGTATCCGTACTCGTAGCGGTGTACTATGGTATGCCCCGTTTTAAGTAACACTGGTTTTAATAATAATAACATACATATTTCAAACAAAAAGTGAATTAGACAGTTGAATGTAAGGAATAATTATATTATTCATCAGCTATGAATAAGGAGATAGAAACATTGCATGTTTATAGGGTATTGTCAGTGCGTAAAGCGACATCCCTGATCAAGGAAGACTAGTTAAATAACGAAATATAGAAAATAAGGACTTTTTTTTTTAGGATGGAAAATAAGGAAATGTAACTGAAAAGGAAAAATTCTGAAAATAAAAAATCTAGTTAATTAAAAAAGTTTTTTATCCGTGAACTTGTTTTAACTTTTTGTTATTGATGAGTAGTAGAAACACTAATTTACTAAAACTGATTTCAAAGGTTAAGTCCAGGAAGAAAAGAAATTGTTCTTCATCAATAATCAAGCATGTATCAAGACTCAGCAACAAGAATTCAACACTAATTTCAAAAAGAAAGATTTAATTCACACCCATTAGAGGTTTGTTTGACAAGCGGTTTCTGGCCATAAAACACTTCGGAGACCTTGTGTTTTTTTAAGTTACAAAAGGGAAAATCCACTGGGTCTTAAGCTAGATTTTGAGAGTAATTATCAACCTCATAAAATCCAGAAACCTCTGTTTCAATAAATTTTATACTTTAAATATTCAGGAATTTGAGATATCTCTATAAGATATGAATATAACATAGTTATACCAAAAAAATGCTCTTACAATCTGAATGAAAATATACAAAGAGTTCATACTTTTAGCCTGAGAGTTGGGGACAGCTTTTCTCTAAATAAATTTTCTTTTCATTATTTAATTTGAAACTTTACTCCTTTATTGCTCTATTATAAATAGATCTTCTGTAAGTCTAACCCATTTATGAGAGAGGACAAACACATACCACTACTCATTTATCTCGGTTCTGTCATGAAATTTCTGTTCTTCAGTTTTTTTTTTTTTTCTTCATTCCCATTATCACCCCAAGTTAATTGCTTGCGAAAGTGCTTAACCCCTTCTTAGTGTGTGTCCGATACTTTCTTCAAAATACTACCCAGAGAAAAGTTGTTTAGTTTTTTTTTTTTCAGATAATCCATTTTCTGCTCCATTTCTGTTTCTTCAATTCATTCTTTAAAGTATCCAAAAAAAAAAAAAAAAAAAGTCATTCAAGATTTGGGTTTTTGCAATATCTCTGTTTTCTAATCCATTCTTGTTTCTTGAATAATTCTCAAGTTCCTTCCTTTACATAAGCCCCGTTCTTGAATAACTCCCACCTTTGCCCTTTTTTTTTATCACCTTTAATGGGTGAAAAATGGGCATTTGCTGTGCATGTGATAAATGGAAGATGGTTTTCAGTTTTTGCCTCTTTCTTAATCATGGCTGGAGCTGGAGCAACCTATCTATTTGGGACCTACTCAAAAGATATAAAAGAAACACTTGGGTATGATCAATCAACACTCAATCTTATAGGCTTTTTTAAAGATCTTGGTGCTAATATTGGAGTTCTTTCTGGTTTAATAGCAGAAGTAACACCAACATGGTTTGTGCTTCTTATTGGATCTGCTATGAATTTTATTGGGTATTTCATGATTTGGCTAGTTGTGACTAGAAAAATAGCCAAACCTGAAATTTGGCAAATGTGTCTATATATTTGTATTGGAGCAAATTCCCAAAATTTTGCTAACACAGGAGCTCTTGTTACTTGTGTGTTAAATTTTCCAGAAAGTAGAGGTGTTATGTTGGGTCTATTGAAGGGTTTCGTTGGGTTAAGTGGAGCAATAATGACACAACTTTATTTAGCCATTTATGGGAATGATTCCAAATCTTTAATTCTTTTAATTGCCTGGTTACCAGCTGCTCTTTCTGTTATTTTTGTGTTCACAATCAGAAAAATGAAGGCGGAGAGACAACCTAATGAGCTAAAAGTGTTTTACCATTTCCTCTATGTCTCAATTGTGCTAGCTTTATTTCTTATGGTCATGAACATACTTGAAAAGCAAGTAAATTTCTCCAAAGGAGCATATGCTACAATTGCTACTTTGGTTTGTCTCTTGCTCTTTGTACCTCTTTTAATTGCTATCAGAGAAGAATGGGGTCAATGGAATATCAAGAAACAGGAAGCAATGAAGCCTTCTTGCGAAGTGACTATAAATAAACCATCAGAAGAGAAAGATGAATCGGTGGAAACAAAAATCTCAAAAGAGGAAAAGAACCAGATTTCAAGATCCTGTTTCCTGACTGTATTTGACAAGCCAGAAAGAGGTGAAGATTACACAATTTTACAAGCACTTTTGAGCATTGACATGTTGATATTATTTGCTGCTACATTTTGTGGACTTGGATCAAGCTTAACAGCAGTTGACAATTTAGGTCAAATTGGTGAGTCACTTGGATACCCCACTAAAACAATCAAGTCTTTTGTTTCTTTAGTGAGTATATGGAATTATTTTGGAAGGGTTTTTGCTGGTTTTGTTTCTGAGACCCTAATTGTCAAATACAAAACCCCTAGACCATTAATGATGACTGGTGTTCTACTTTTATCCTCAATAGGTTTTCTTATCATTGCCTTTCCTTTTCCTAATTCAGTCTATATAGCTTCAGTGATCATAGGATTTTCATTTGGTGCACAATTGCCTCTGCTTTTTGCAATAATTTCTGAGCTATTTGGGTTGAAGTATTATTCTACATTGTTCAATTGTGGGCAATTGGCAAGTCCACTTGGGTCATATATCCTCAATGTGAAGGTTACAGGAACTTTATATGATAATGAGGCATTGAGACAGCTAAAAAAGAAGGGCTTGGAGAGGTCTGCAGTTAAGGAACTGATTTGCATTGGAGTTGAATGTTATAGAAAACCATTTATAGTTTTGTGTTCTGCAGCTTTATTTGGTGCTCTTATTTCACTTATTTTGGTGGTGAGGACAAGAAAATTCTACAGTGGTGATATATATAAGAAGTTTAGAGATAGAGTTGAAGATTGCTCTTGAATTGAGACCAAAATTAGAAGATTAGCCACCTAGGAAATTGCCAAATCTTTTCTTCCATTTTTTGCTGGAAAAGAGGAGGAAAAATAATAAAAGGGGCTATATATGTAATTGCCAAATTATGCATAACTGGCATAAATTTGATTATGTAATCATCAAGAGATAAATATTAGGATAAGTTTGATGACTGTGCAAGATTTTGTTTCCTTTTATAGTAACGATTTACTTAAAAAAATTTTGATGAAGAAAACAAAAACAATTGCCAATTAACTTATTCAATTTCAAATAGTTGAATGATTTCATGGATGGGACACCGGATGGGAAATACTTACCTGCACCCAGTCCGTAGGCCCACCCCATATACCAAACTAATTAAAAATAAGTTTTTGGTATAAGGAGAATGTGTATGGCTATCTACTAATGCTGTGTTTGGGAACAGAGAGAAGTAAAATAAATGTGTAAAATGTCACTATTCATTTTTCTCTTAAAATGAGTGAAAATTAGGCTAAAAAGAGGGTTTAACCTTTATTTTCATCTTGAACTTTTCGAGTAGGTATAATTTCACTTTAAATCAACGTTTGTACCTTAGACATCATGAATTTATTAACTCAGTTGCATGTGTATCCTAATTTAAAGTAATATTCTAACTCATTATTTTTGCATTTTAAAATTGATTCAATTTTAAAATCAAATGTTCAATCTTGATTTTTTTATTTATTGTTTAAATACTTAGGTATGGAGTCTATTTTTTTACATTATTTTTATTAAAATTTTAATCTTAGTTTATTTTTAGAGTGCAATTGTAACAAATTGACAAGTTCAGGGTGTTGTAATTCACTTTTAGGGTATAATTGCACCATAAAGGCAAATTAAGGTATAATTACAACTAGGTTGATAAGTTTAGAGTGCTCATGGTACCAAAGTCGATAGTGAAATTGCAATTACTCAAAAAGTTGGGAGTGAAATTAAAAATTAGACCTAAAAAGAGTGTAAAATAAATTTATTTTACACCTTTCTTGATATTTTCACCCTAATCAAACAATGCCATATTTTCGCTTTCTATTTTACATCCATTCATATTTTATATCAATCCAAAGAAAGCATAAAAAAAAAAATAAAACAATAATAATATTTAAAAAATATATATCTTTATGGATCGGTGATGTAGGCAATATTCATCCCTTATAGATGCAGTGTTCTTATGTTGGCTTAATTCCTGATAGGGGCGGACCAACTCAGACAATTATGAGTCAAATATAACTTTTTGTTTCTTTTTTGAAAGGACTGCCAAATATAACTTTGCATAAATGGAAGTACAATCTATAAATGAAATATTTTCTATTTTTGTTAAAACTTTACTCCTTCATATCCCTATAAATAGATCTTTTTAAGTCTAATTCATTTATAATGGAGGACAAAACATATCACTAACGTTCTTTTATCTTAGGGAAGTCGTGAATGAAATCTCCTCTTCATCTTTTTTAATGCCCGTTGTCAGCTCTAAGTTAATTTCTTGCAAAAGCACTTGACCTCTTGTTAGTGAGTATTTTTATACTTTCTTTATAAAAGCTATTCAAGAAAAATTGGATTTTTATAATTTCTCTGTTTTCTAATCCATTCTTGTGTCTTGAATAATTTTCAAGTTTCTTCTTTTAACCTCCATCTTTGCCCATTCTTTTATCACCTTCAATGGGTGAGACATGGAGATTTGCAATTCATGTGATAAGTGGACGATGGTTTTCAGTTTTTGCCTCTTTCTTAATCATGGTTGGAGCTGGATCGACTTATATATTTGGAACCTATTCAAAAGATATAAAAGCAACACTTGGGTATGATCAATCAACACTCAATCTTCTTGGCTTTTTTAAAGAAGTTGGTGGTACTTTTGGGGTTCCTTCTGGTTTAATAGCAGAAGTAACGCCAACATGGTTTATGCTTCTTGTAGGATCTGCAATGAATTTTATTGGGTATTTCATGATTTGGCTAGCTGTGACTAGAAAAATAGCCAAACCTAAAATTTGGCAAATGTGTATTTATATTTGTATTGGAGCAAATTCCCAGAATTTTGCTAATACAGGAGCTCTCGTTACTTGTGTGTTGAATTTTCCAGAAAGTAGAGGTGTTGTGTTGGGTTTATTGAAGGGTTATGTTGGGTTAAGTGGAGCAATAATGACCCAAGTTTATTTAGCCGTTTATGGGAATGATTCCAAAGCTTTAATTCTTTTAATTGCTTGGCTACCAGCTGCTCTCTCTGTCATTTTCGTGTTCACCATCAGAATAATGAAGGCTGAGAGACAACCTAATGAGCTAAAAATTTTTTACCAATTCCTTTATGCCTCCATTATGCTAGCTTTATTTCTTATGGTCATGAACATACTTGAAAAGAAAGTAAATTTCCCCAAAGGAGCGTATGCTACAGTTACTTCATTGATCTGTGTTTTGCTTTATTTTATTGGGTATTTCATGATTTGGCTAGCTGTGACTAGAAAAATAGCCAAACCTAAAATTTGGCAAATGTGTATTTATATTTGTATTGGAGCAAATTCCCAGAATTTTGCTAATACAGGAGCTCTCGTTACTTGTGTGTTGAATTTTCCAGAAAGTAGAGGTGTTGTGTTGGGTTTATTGAAGGGTTATGTTGGGTTAAGTGGAGCAATAATGACCCAAGTTTATTTAGCCGTTTATGGGAATGATTCCAAAGCTTTAATTCTTTTAATTGCTTGGCTACCAGCTGCTCTCTCTGTCATTTTCGTGTTCACCATCAGAATAATGAAGGCTGAGAGACAACCTAATGAGCTAAAAATTTTTTACCAATTCCTTTATGCCTCCATTATGCTAGCTTTATTTCTTATGGTCATGAACATACTTGAAAAGAAAGTAAATTTCCCCAAAGGAGCGTATGCTACAGTTACTTCATTGATCTGTGTTTTGCTTTTTGTACCTCTTTTAATTGCTATTAGAGAAGAATGGGTTCAATGGAATATCAAGAAACAGGAAGCAATGAGGCCTCCTTGCGAATTGACCACAGAGAAACCATTAGAAGAGAGAGATGAATTATCAGTGGAAACAAGAATCTCAACAGAGGAAAATAACAAGATATCAAAATCTTGTTTCTTGACAGTATTTGACAAGCCAGAAAGAGGTGAAGATTACACAATTTTACAAGCACTTTTGAGCATTGACATGTTGTTATTAATTTCTGCTACATTTTGTTCACTTGGACCAACCTTAACAGCAGTTGACAATTTAGGTCAAATTGGTGAATCACTTGGATATTCAACTGAAACAATCAATTCTTTTGTTTCCTTAGTAAGTATATGGAATTATTTTGGAAGGGTTTTTGCTGGTTTTGTATCTGAAACCCTAATTGTCAAATACAAAACCCCTAGACCATTAATGATGGTTGGTGTTCTACTTTTATCCTCAATAGGTTATCTGATCATTGCCTTCCCTTTTCCTAATTCAGTCTATATAGCTTCAGTGATCATAGGATTTTCGTTTGGTGCACTATATGTTCTGTTTTATGCAATAATTTCTGAGCTATTTGGGTTAAAGTACTATGCTACATTGTTCAATTGTGGACTATTGGCAAGTCCACTTGGGTCATATATCCTAAATGTGAAGGTCACAGGAACTTTATATGATAACGAGGCATTGAGGCAGCTAAAAAAGAAGGGCTTGGATAGATCTTCAGTTCAGGAATTGGTTTGCATTGGAGTTGAATGTTATAGGAAACCATTTATAGTTTTGTGTTCTGTAGCTTTATTTGGTGCTCTTGTTTCATTTATTTTGGTGGCGAGGACAAGAAAATTTTATAGTGGTGATATATATAAGTCCAGAGAGAGTTCAACATAGCTGTTGAGGCCAGAACTATACATACTTGGCATAATTTGATTATGCAATTAAGAGAAAAATATCAGGATAAGTTTGATTGGCATATGTGAGATTATTTTTATCTCTTTATAATGTAATTTTCATGAAAAATAATAAACAAAAAATTTATAATGAAATTATTCGAATGGTTGAACGATAATGTAGTTATAGCCTTATGGAGAGGATATCTGTACTCTAAAGATTGCAAATTTGCACTCATATGGAGTGGCTCAAATGGTAAATCTTTACAAGATGGAATGTCCGATCAACCAACGGAAAAACACTTACGAGCAGGGGCGATTATGAACTTTGGAAACGAAATCAGTTTCATACTTGAAAATTAAAAAAAAAAAAAAAAAAGGTCAATCCACGGAAAAAACACTTACGAGCCAGTCGGCGCGTATCCTACATTGAAGCTTTTGGCGAAACTGCAAATCAGGTTTCATACTTGTTAAAATTAAAAAAAACAAAAACAACTAAGGGAAACTGTCCTCTGAAATGCACAATTAATAAATCTCCTATAACGTCTCATACTATGGAAATTGGTAGGAGGAATAATTGGGATACCCAGTAGAATTTTAAAAAAAAAAAAAAAAAAGGGAAACTTGTCTTGAAAATGAAATTAATAATCTATATAACGTCTATACTTATGGAAATTGGAGGAGGAATAATTGGATACTCAGTAAATTTAAATATGGACAAAAATATAATTTAAAGAAAAATATGGACAAAATATCTTAAGAAATTTTAATTTTATTCCTTAAAAAAAATAAAGAAATCCTTCATTAATTAAATAAATTAATAATTGAAATCGAAATACATTTTTTAATTGTAATTTTATTATCAGTAACTAATTTATATTAAAATATTTTAATTAATTTAGGAAGTGCAATATTTTTATTGAAAAAGAAAAGAAAATTAACTCAATTAAGAAGATTTGAATTCAATTAAAATAACAAAAAATTGACATAAACTTAGTCCTAATTTTAATACTCAGCATTGCTATGGTAGTATGCATAAGTTTTAATTTTATGTAAAATGGTAGATTTATAAATTATCATAGACTTTCAAAACAATATATATTATTTTATATTTATTTGTTTGTTTTATGTTTGTTTTCTTTTCTTCTATAATATATATAGACAAATGTTGAGAAGGATGACGTGTCGTCCCATGGTAAAATAAAGGAGGAGAGTTGTCGTTTAATTCAACAATTAAATTACGCAGCATAATAGCCGTATTTTCATTGACCGAGGAAGAGAGTTAAAACGACAAAGTCGTAATAAAATAGAATCCCATCGTTTTGTGATTAATCACCAAAAACCCTTGCTGAAAAACCGCGTACAATTTCGCGCTCCTCTCTCAAAATTTTAACTTGCTCTGCATATATACTCCGCAAGACGAGAAAGTTTGTTTCTGTTTCGTAGGGAGAGAGACATGGAGATTAACATGGACGAACCTCTGGATTTTGAATCTGAAGACACACTTCTCAGTGCTCCTGTTATCAATCAGAAAAGGTTTCCTTGAAACTGGAACTTTACTATTTTCTCTTTTCAGTATAAATTTATATTTTTGTTTGTCCAATCATTTTTTGGTCATCATTCAAAAATTTTATATGTGTTTTTAAGGACTTTTATCTTCTTGTTACTGCATTGTCTTGAATTCAATTAAATTTTATATACACATCAATTATTATTATTCAAAAGTTTAATCTGGGTAGCTAGGGTTTTGCCTCTCGAGGATTGATTTTTATTTTGTCGTTGCATTTCTTTAAGGGAAAAAACACCTCGAAATTTCTTTTCGAGTTCAATAAAAACCATTTTGTGCTTAAATTTGTACATTTCTTTTTTCAAATTTGTTTTTACTGTGATCGAGAACCCATTTGATAGAACAGGGTCTTCTAGATTCTTTTTTTTTTTTTTTTCCTATAAAATCTTAGTACTTGATTGGGATTTGAAGGATTCATTTGGCAGAATATAACCTCATTTCCTTTAGTTGACGAAGGTTTAAGTGAAATTGGATTTTTTCACTCATTTTTCAGTTTTGCTTCTGGGCTAAGGCGTGTTGTTACTGTTTTTTTGTTAGGTTCTTTTTCATAATATATTGTCTCTTGAATTTGATACAGGATGAAAGTTATTGGCTTGGATGATCTTTTGACTGATTACTATAAGGAGAAAAGCAAAGTGGTTGAGAGAGAGGCTAAACGAGCAAAAGCCTCCAAGAAGAACTACAATTCTGATGAAGATGACCGTTGCAAGGAAGCTTTACTATCAAGAAAAATTAATGAATGCCACAATCAGGTATTATAAACTTTGTTATTCTAGCTCTTTTAATTTTCCCCCCATATCATCCATACCCCTTTTTACTGAATTATTATATATTTGGTCTAGATGAGAGATATGGGTGGTGAAGAGGAGATCTCTATATGGGGTGTACAGGTTTTTGGAAATCAGGTCATTTTCTGATAACTAGATATGAACTTATTGCAGCACTACTTTTACTTTCGGGAGGATTTTCAGTGGGATTCATTTCTGGGATAAGTGACAGTAAATCATTTTCTGATTACTTTGGCTTTTCCATGTGAATTGCAGAAAACCCCACCGCCTATTTCTTTTCCTGAGCTTGGGAGTTGCTCATTTTTGCAGTCTTTCACGAGCAATAAACTCAACACTTTGGTTGAACTCAACCCAGAAAATGGTTGTTATATTTATTTATTTTTTTATTTACTTGCCTTTTCATTAATTTATTACCTGGTAAAACTGCAGTGGGGTCTTGAAGGGAGAACTTATATGTAGTCTCCAACCCTACAGCACCTTTTCTTGTTTCCAATAGTACTGTTGTTTGGATAAATAGTATTTCTACCAATTGCATTGATATGTTCTTGCAGGGGAAACATTTCTAGAAGGATTATTGGTAAATGGATGGCTCTCAAAATTGATTTCCAGACATGGTCATGTAGAAAAATCGATAGCTAAATGGACTTTTTATTTGAGTGGGTAGATTTATTACTTTCAGCTTGTCCATTTTGATCTTGTTTGATGGTTGCTATTTTCTCATCCTATGGCATCTTAGTGTTATATTCATCAAAGGAAAAGTTAAGGACGTCTGCATGTGACTTCTGGTGCATCATTCTTTCATCTGAGAAAAAGGTGATCTTTTTTACTTCTAGTGATAAGCCTGGACACTGGACCTGTTTTTCAAATTTAATTGTGATGTTTCCTATTTGGTTGTGACATCATGAATTGTCATGTTTTATCTGTCATCAAACATGATCAGGCTGAGAAGCTGCCAATTAGAATTGAATGGTTCCCCAGCTACTCAGATTTCAAAAGAGCTCTGGAAACATATGGATTTCTGTTCGATTTTTCATCGCCTGCAAAAGCAAATACTGGTATATTCTGTTTGAATTTTTTCCACGTATCATATATCATAAGTAACACAATGCATTTTATGTACTGGCGACATTCTTTTTTTCTGGCAGTAGAATATGGTCTTTGTCTCTTTGTTATGCTTATAAAAAGTGGTATTCAGAAGGATAATGCCAATGACAATTGAAGAACTGCTCTTTCCAATCTGTCATTATGTTGATTTGAGCAAGTCTGTCCATCTACAATTTTTTTGGAACCAGCAATTGCTTTCTGTTTTCTGTTTCTTTCTTAATTTTGCTTTTGTTCTGTTTAATTTATCTTCTTTTTGTATCATGCCAGTTACAAATAGCTGTTAACCAGGTTTAGTATTACTGATTGTGAAGTGAACAAGTCATTTTGACAAGTTCTTCTGTTTAATCTCACATATGCTTTAAATGGAATGCATAAGTCTGTGTCTAATTTTGCTTGCTCAAATGGTATCTGCTATGCATGTCTGTTAATGGCAACAAAGATTGCTATAAAGGATTTTGTTGATTAATTGATGATGCAATAGCCTGTTGGAATTAGAGAAACTCCGTTTTATATTTGGATTGTAAACCAAGTGTTATAATTTAAACTGTATGACAGAGGCATATTTATGTTTAGTACTTTTTCTGTCAAACACTTCAGATTACCAATATGTCTCCCTTATATCACACATTCCTGGGCTTTAAAGGCTGTGATGCCAAATGTAGCCTTTTTTGGCTTAGTGCTTACTGAAGCAGATTACTGGTGGTAATTGAATGAAATGATAGGTTTTCTCATCCACACTTGCTCATGTTTCAGTATTTGTTGAATTTTGGTTTATCTGGTTTTCAATCTCATTTAGGGTGGAAAACTTCTCTATTGTTTGTATACGGGTGCTACATGTGATGCCCAATTGAAAGAGTGGCAAATTTATATCTCAATTTGCTTTTGATTTCTCTTATTGCTTTTTTTTAAAAAAAAATGGGCATCATAATATATGTTTCTAGTTGGTATTGGATGTTCTATTGAAATTTAAGTATTCCTTCTTTTACATTATCCGCCATTTGTAACAAAGATATTCTCAAGAGTTCCAAAATGGTCTTCTCATTACAGCTATTATGTTTCCTTTCAGATTCTATTGATAGAGGACTGCCTATAAATATTAGACGATGGCTTAAATTTACTTCTGTTTGCTGTCTTGTAAGGTAAGTGAGAAGTCTGAATATATATTAGTCCAAAATTTTGCTTCCATTGTAAGGATCAGCGTGTTTGCTTTTGAGCTGAAGTCTACAAATATTTCTACTTTCTCAGTTTTATAATTGCTATCTTGATTATTCCTCGTTTTTCTTTGCAGGAGCAAGGTACCTATTTTTTCACCCTCAGAAGCTGAAGAGTTGGTCCAGTATGCTATTTGTCTATCTTTAGACCGCCAGCTTCAAGGTTTGCTGATGCTTTTGTGTGAATGCATGCAATCAGCTATCAGCTACTTCACAGATGAGGAATGGAGTGCCAGCTGTGAAAAAATCGCAAGAGAGGTAGCTTGCAGGTAGTTGCTGTTTAGTTTTCACCATTGTTCTTCTTCGTTCCCTATCTTTGTCAGTTTTAATGCATATCTTTATTGGCATTGCCAGTCGTCATCTTTCTTCATAGATAAACTGGTTTGCTTATCATTAAATTATGTGGGTTTTCTAAAATTTGGTTGATGTCCTAACAGTTTACCGTTCTTATACTGCAAGCAGAAGGCTGGATAAACATTCTTTTGCTTGCTTCCTTTCTTTTTTTCTTGGGAGAATTAATGGGTAGCTGTATGTATATAAGACTGATTTTTGGTTTGGCATCTTTTAGTTTGTCTGCCTGTGTTATTGTTTCTTTTTCTTTTTATTAATTAATTATTATTTTATGCTTTTAAAAGCCACAAATTAGTCCATGGTATCCGCAAGATGCTTATCGTCTAACATGCAAATAAATAAATGTCTATCACATTCATGTTTTTCAGAATGGCCTTTGATCATGACAATCATTGAACTTGATTAGTAAATTTGACATGCCTAAGTGTAAATAAAAGGTAAATTGCATTAAGTTGCCTTTGACCAATTACGTCCTTACATCCTTCCTCTTATTTTTGGTATCATTGCTTGTTTTTAGAGTTCCCAGGGATTTGAATTGCCTGCGTGCAGTGGAATGCATTTCTGGAGTTGGTACTCGTAATAATGACCTCAGAAGTGCAGTTTCTTATCAGATTCTACTTGTTTGTTTTAATAATAAGGTAGCTTGCGTTCTTTTACTTTCTTCCTTTAGTACCCATATTTAGAGTGAATAGAGCAATTAGCAGAACTCGTTATTTTTCGTTTGGTGATGTTACATCTCCCTATATTTTTTTGCAAATTTCTTATCTATGTATCTATCCTCAATTTAGTGTTATTTTTTTTTCCTGAGGAAGCCCTCAGTTTATGTATTAAACTGCTTACTGTTATGTGATGTGCATCATAATTGGAAATGCATTCTATGCCATGGTTTGTAAATGGTATTACAAACAATGTTTCTTTTGTCTACTGAGTCAGCCAGTTGACTAATTGCATTAGGGATGCTGTTTTCTATTTTCAACTTCACCTGTCTTGTGTCAAACTAAACTCAACCTTATGGTTATACTTTTTTCGTGTTCCTCAGGCAACTAATGAAGAAGAGATCCTGAAATTGCTCATGTCAATTAATGTGAAAGACAAAAATTGTGATTTTTTCAAGATTTACATTTACCTGGTTTTGACAGAAAATTGGCTCTTGTCCAATCCCATTTTGGAATATAAGCCTGTGATCTATGAAATGTGGGGTCTTTATCTGCGAAATTGTTCTTGCCTAATCAGCAGCACGAATTCGAAGCCTTATGCATCGAAGGTATACAATCAAATATTATTGTCTATGCATTTGGTTGATATTAATGAGAAAGTTCTTTGTACATTACAGGTCCGGACCAAAGCTTCATATCTCCTACATAGCTCCGCCAATAAAGTAGTTTTATGAGGTATGTGTTCGTAAACCACCAATGAAACGAGCCGCATTCACATTATCTCATATATTACGTGTTCTTTCTGTCCAACTTTTAAAAGAACAGTAGGAAAAATAAATTGACTGCGACGAGTTAATCCTGTCTCCATAGTGAAGTTACATAAAAGTTTCTCTAGGACATTCTGTGACCTATTGGTCTGTACTGATCCATGTTTGTTTGAGTGCACAAACATGGCCAGGAGTCGTTTTACTTTCAAGTGTAGTAATGATATATTTGAAACGAGAATTTCTGCTAGTATTCTAGCATACTGATGAAAATCCTGACATTGTTGGTGTGTAAAGTCTGTTAGTGGTAAAGTAAATGTAACGTCTCCCATCTCCACCATACCAACTACTGCAAAGAAAAAGGTTTTAGTAGCATTGCAGTGAGATATTAGCAATAATATTGAGGTGTAAAAGCTCTTCCAGTTTGATTCACAGCATTTTATGCTTGCAGGGAAAATGGGTCCAAATGAATTTGACGGATGGTGAAGCTAGAAGATAGCAACCTTTATTTAGCTGTACATATCCTATTCTGAAGCCATCTTGTTTGCCCTGGCCTAGAATGTGAAATTTAAGGCTAACATCAAAGATTATGCTTATTTTGAGACCTATAGTTGCCAATGTATTTTTAGTATCCCACAGAATGCATGTTCCCCTGTACCGGGTGATATTCATGTTTTTTGTTGTTTACTATTGTTGCCCATGTATAGTGCTTTTGTACTGCGATTCAGAGCTATAAGTGAATACAAGGATTGGTTGCTTCTGAAACTAATCTAGCATTATGTATAGACGTTTAATTTGACCAACATAAAAATGTCATTTTGTAATGTAAAACAGCTTTTAATGGTCATGGGTTGATTTTCTTTTCTTTTTTTTTTACCCTTTTCTAATGGGAAAAAAAATGCATTTTTTCCCTTGAAAAGGTTAAAGTCCTCAGCAGACATTATATGCATAAGGTTTCATTATTTTGTTTTCAGCTTATAGTGGAAGAGTTGAGGTTGAAACCCTAGCATTCTTCCCCTTTGAGAGCTTTCAATATACAGAAAAAGAAAAAAAATGAAGAAAATGGAAAAAAAAAATGCAATATTTGTTATTCTTGCAGAAAGCACACAAGTGGCTGAATCAGAAGAGAATTCACAGTTAAAATAGCCCAATCAAAATTCTGATTCCACTTAATGTAAAATAAAAGGAGGCCCAAGCAAAGATCATATGGACTGAATAAAGAAAAGCTTGGCAAAGTTACCCATCATATCCATCATCTTGTTTCTTTTTCCTTTGCTTCATTTTGAAAAGGGGAAAGTACTTTTTAGTCCCTCAGTTTTGATCAAATTAACAAAGTCGCCCCTCTATTTTGTTAAACCCTATAAGTAATCCCTGCGTTTTTGTTCCATTAAACTTGTCCATCCTTCTGTCAACAAAAAAGCATTTCCACGTTAAAAGAGTCATGTAAATGTCTTAAATGTCCTCATTTATTTAATACATAATAAAATTAAAAGGACAGAAAAATCCAAAGGTTTGAACCATTTTTCCATTCACCTAACTACTCATTTTGCATTTTTATGTCTTTTCCTCTCCCGCTCTCGCCATGGATGATCCTTTGCAAAGAAAAGAAGAAATTTTTTGTTGAAGGTTATGAATCGATCTAGTGAATGAAGAATAGTTAGGAGACATCGATTCTGAAGGTAAATTTTGTTACTCTTTTTCTTTTTTTCTTTTTCATTTGAGTGGGATAAGTAGCAATGCAACAAACCATGCAATAGTTCATGTAAAGAGTATAAACTTGTGAGAAACAGTGATTTGGTTTGCTAAAACTTTCAATTAAAATTTTTTTATTCAATTTTATATTAGATTATTTTAATAATCTGAGTAGCTCATGTAATTAAAGAGCTGGTTCTAATTAAGGTAGCCCAAAATGATGGTTATTGGGCTTAATGGATAATGACCAGTTAGGGTTTTAATTCCCTTTCTGCCTTATAAAAGAAAAATAAAAACAACAGCTTAGGTTAAGAAAAGAAAATAGAGAGTGTGACGGCTACCTCAAACACATATAGTGATAAATTATTTGAGAGAGCGTAAAAAGAATACTCCCGTGCTGTTGATAATTCTCTAACCATTAAGAGAGCACTTATGAACAAAAGGCCAGAGTGAAGAAACGTAGATCTACTGTTATGGTGAGAATCATAATTGCCGCAACGAGATAATCAATAGCCATGAATCAAGGTACGCTTTCGCTTATTGTGTATATTTATTAAACAAATTCTATGAACAACAAGATCTAAGCTATAATAAAGTTTATTCAACATATTAAGGTTAGTGATGTGAAGGATTTTTAACAACATTTTAACAGCAAATATCTATAAAAATGTAACCTTTACGCTCTTTCACCATTATTTTGTAGATGACGCTTCCTCAGTGGTACGATCTTCAATTCAAATGTGGAGAAGAGGAGGGTTGAGTGTGTAACGTAGATCGAGATAAGTACTCATATCTGGATCTTTTGCAAAATGTTTATACATTGTTTAAATTGAAGGCTGACTTTATTGATTTTTTAGGTGGTTCTGGTTTTATTATTGAAAAAAATGATGATATTATGTTTATGTTTCAAATGTATAAAGATATTGCTACGGTACCAATTACAGTTAATGTTAGGAATGCTTGTGTTAGTATGGAGGGTCCATCAAATGCTAGTGTAAATGTAAATTCTAGCAATGTTTGTGAGGGTGTAAGGTAGTCAAATGTTGAAAATTTATTATGCATTGATAATGTGCCTTCCATTGTGAATTTGAATGATAATGTGCCTTCTATTTTGAACTTGCATGATAATGTGGCTAGTGGGAGTGCTTCTAGGAGGGCAGTTGGGGTTGACGTTAATGTGGGTACTAGCAGTGGAGTTAGTAGGAGAGCATTTGTAATTAGGGAAAGTGTTTGGGATGAAATTTTGGGGGATAGCAGTTCTCAGACCATTCCAGTTACCAGGGGCAAGGGAGGGAGGCTTGGAATATCAAGAGGTAGGGGATTAAAAAAGGAGGTAGGCCATTAAGAGGAGGTAGGGGAATATCTAGTAATGTCAGTACGCTATCTAGAGGTGGGGGATTAATAAGAGACAGTGGAGTAAGGGGTGAGCAGGGCAATAGTGAGTCAGTTGATATGAGTAATGTAAGTGGGCTTTCTAGAGGTAGGGGAGTAAGGGAGATAGTGGTGTAAGGAGTAAGGACCTTTCTTAGAATGCATCTAGGAATGATAGATATAATTTCAAACCTAATAGGCCTCAAACAGGTAGCACTGAAGTACCATAAGATGAAGAGTTAAGTGGGGACAACAGTGATAATGATTATGGATTTAATACCTCTGATGATGATTCTGATGTTGAGAATGATAATACAAATGGTATGTCTGATGTTGGTAGTGATATGAGTTTTGAAAAGGTTATAAGTGATGAAAAAGACCATATTGTAGTGCGTGGCAGAAAGAGGAGGAGACCAGACCCCTTTAGAGGGATGTATGACAACTTGTATGTGGCAGATAATTTTAACAATATAACATTTGCAACTGGGATGACATTCATGAATGTAATTGCATTTAGGCATGCATTAAGAGACTATTCAATGAAAGGGGGATATTTGATGAAGATGCATAAAAATGACTCAGAAAGAGTAACTGCTACATGCAAAAGAGAGGGGTGTGGCTTTAGAATTCATGCATAAAAAAATCCAGATGGCACCACCTTCATGGTTAAGACATTACAAGAGGAGCATAATTGCGTAAGACCATTAGGAAACAAAAATACTAAACCCACTACATCATGGATTAGGAAAAAACTTCGTGAAGACCTTGAGGCTGATCCTAATATGAGCTATGAGTTGATGACTAAAAAATTGTAAAACACTTGGGGTATTGAGCCAAAAACATGGCAATTGAATAGAGCTAGGTACCAGGCTAGAGAGAAAGATGAGGGTTCAAATAGGGAGAGGTACAGGATGCTTCCAAAATACTTAGAGTCTGTAGGGAAATTCAATCCTAGAACTTATATTGAATTTGACCCATCTAGAAATACACTACCTGGTACTAAAGTTGTTTTTGGAAGACTATTCATTTCTTATAGAGGTATGATTAAAGGATTCTTGAATGGATGCAGACCATTTATTAGTCTTGATGGCTGCCATTTTAAGGGGCCATATGGGGGTGTTTATTTAGCTGCAATGAGTCTTGATGGCAATAGAGGGGGTCTATCCTTTGACATTAGCAATAATTGATTCTGAGTCAAGTGCAACTTGGAATTTCTTCCTTGAGTGTCTAAAAGAATGCATTGGAAGAGACAATGATGATAACCTGTGGACCTTCATGTCGGACAGAAGGTATACTATAATTTTTGTACAATATTATTGCTTTTAATTGTGAAGTTCTATTGAAAATTAAAGTCTTCATTTGCTTTTAATTGTATGTTGCTCATTTCAAGGACTTAATTGATGCTGTGAGAATAATATTTGGTGAATCATTGCATAGATATTGTTGCAAGCATATCTTCATGCATTTGAGGAAGGTTTTTACTGGGGTAGCATTAAGGAGGGATTTATAGGCTGCTGCAAAGGCGACTCATAGTGAAGCTCTCAAAGTGCATATGACGAACATTGAACTGTTGTATGAAGAAAAGGCAGAAGAGTGGTTGTTGAAGATACCACTGCCACAATGGGCCAGACATGCTTGCCGACCTGAGGGTAAAAGTGAGCACATGACAAATAATATGTCAAAGTCCTTCAACAGTTTACTTGGAAGAAATAGAAGCTTGCAAATTGTGAAGCTGTTGGATGCAAGTAGGCAAAAATGCATGCACAAGCTACATAAAAGATTTGCAAGAGGGTCGACATGGCAGGGAAAACCGACACTAAAGTGCAAGGATGCATTGAATAATTTGATGAAAATGACCAAAGGGTGTAGGATGATTCCCAGTAATACTTATGAGTTTGAAGTGTGGGAAGGAAAAATTGCATTTGCAGTTGTCATAGGAAAAAGGACATGCTTATGCAAGTGGTGGGAGACATCAGGATTACCATGCAAACATGCATGCCTTGCACTTGGTTACAAGAGGGCTAACATTGAAGAATATTGCAATGAATATTTCACAGTAGAAGCATATCTGAAGACATATAAGGGTGTAATACACACAATCCCTCGTGTCAATCTAGAGTCAGAAACTGAAGGGAATATAGTGCTGCCTCTAGAACTAAAAAGAAAGGTTGGAAGACCTAAGAAGAATTAGGCAAGAAGGGGAACAAGCAGCAAGCAATACAAGATTAAAGTGTGGAACTGTGAGGTGTTGCATATGTAAACAACTAGGCCACAACATGAGAACCTGTAAAAGGGCATCTCCTGTTAATAGACCTCCTCTCGATAGAGTGTCCATTCTCTCTTGGTTCTGAGTCTTAATGAAAAATAAATAACACTAATGCCTTCCACTTGATTTTTTTTTTTTGAAGGTTTACCAGCACAGGCAAAGGAAAGAGAGAGAGTTGATTCGAGTGAAGCAAATAATGGCTGAGAAGATGTTGCACAATGATGTTAATAGAGGAACACATGCTCCTAGGGTTTTTTGGGTTACAGGTGGTATTTTGAATTTGGGGCTTTTATTTTTTGCATAGTACCATACTTTTGGATGAGTAGGTGAATTTCCATGAGTGGCCAGTCAGTCATTCGCTAATCCAGATGATAGTGAAATTTACTTAATAGGCAATATGATAAACTCTTTTGTAAACAATTACAGTTGGCTATAAAAGTGCAAGGTTGCACTATATCGAACTGCTGAGAATTTTTTTGATTTACATTATGGACATGTGTAAAGCAAATGTTGCAACATTATTGGATGGAGAATTTTTTTTAACATTTGAATTAAAGATTATATTAATAAGAGAAGAAACGAGCAAGAACTGCTGAGAATTTTTTTGATTTACATTATGGACATGTGTAAAGCAAATGTTGCAACATTATTGGATGGAGAATTTTTTTTAACATTTGAATTAAAGATTATATTAATAAGAGAAGAAACGAGCAATACAAGCGGGAGCACTATCCCAAGTTTGAAAACAAGCTCCACTAGGGACGGATTTAGCCAACACATGAGCTACATCACTTGCTTGTCTTCTAATCCAAGCCAATGTAACATTAGGCAATTGGACTAAGAGTAGTTTACATTCAGAGATGACAACACCAAACTCGGACCAGTCGGGGGCAGAACTCCTCATAGCATGACAGACTTGAAGGCAATCGGTCTCAACCTGAATCGTCAGAGTAGGGTGTCCCGACAGCACCCAGGTTAATACCTTTCTTAACGCTTGAGCTTCTGCTAATGCTGGAGAAGAGCAACCATGCAATGAAGATGTTGTTGCTGATACAAATCCGCCATGGCAGTTTGAGAGTACAGCACCCATGGCGGCAGATGGGAGAAGGCGGCATCAAATTTTTTTGTGCCGTTTAGGTGCAAGAAGACCATTGACTACCTGCAGAAGCATTGATGCTGTATCTGAACTTCTGACAGTTCAGCTGGGCTTTCCTTCAAGATGCGAGCATAAACCTTCTAGCTTCGAGTAAACCACATGATAAGGTCCTTCATCATCTTGGTTCCCATTTGATTCATTAACGGCTCAGCCAAACACTCCATAGACCCTAATGAACTCTCAAATCGCTTTCCCACACCTTGTGGTGTACACGTGCACCGCGAGTCGGGCGGGCGGATGTCACATTCGGTGCCTAACTTAACATATAAATCAGAAAATCCTAGTATGAATTAGAAGTGATTTAATATTCACAAGTTTAACAAGTAGTATTATTTTTTTAAAAAAAAAAATGATTTGGGAAAAACCTATAGAAAAACTGCAAGAGTTTCCCCTAAACATAGACATTGCCAAACAAGTGAATACAAAACACTCCCAATTTCAAAACTCCAAACTCCATCCAACTCCAAGAACAACACAATAACACTCTTCTAAGGTCTAACTACAACATTTGCGTATGCATCAATTAGATACATTTAGTTAAACATATTACTTTGAATTTTCTGCACAATAAATAAAACGAATAGAAAAACAGTCCTTAAACACACCCATTAACATTTTCCCTTGGTAAAATTCTGCCACTTTTGGAAGAAGAAGAGAAAAATAATTTCCTCATAAATTCAACATATAGGTAGGCTTAGAAAACACTCAAGAACACATTTATACAAGCAAATTCCAGCAATCAAATCATTTCATACCAAATCCCAAATTTTCACAAAGTAGTACAAACTTCTTGTGAATATTAAATCACTTCTAATTCATACTAGGATTTTCTGATTTATATGTTAAGTTAAGACAGTGCCTCCGGCACCGAATGTGACATCCGTCGTCGTTAATCTTTGTTAGAAGGCTCCCACCCTCTACATGTAATAAGCTCAAAATCAAAACAAAGAAAACAAAGAAAAGAAGAAATTGGAGCATGATTAAGTATGTATATGCTAAAAGAAAACTTTAAATCCAAAAATAATGAAGTTTACTTCACCTAATGAATTCTCCATAAAAATTCTTAAATTTAATCCTTAAAAATAATTCCTCTAATTTCTTTAATTAATATAACACCATCTTAAGTTACTACTCACTATGGAGTGAATTTGGTGAATTATTCAAGTAGAAAATGGAGAAAACAAAGAGAAGAGAAAGAGAGGCTAAAGGTGAAATGGAGGAGAAGAAGATGAAGTTCACGTTAGTTGGAGAGGAAGAGGAAGAAAAATATTGCTCAAATAATGGAGTTGACTAAAAGGGGAGTTTGGTCTTTTCACCAAAATTGGATGGCTAGGATTGAATGTAAATCTAATCTAATAGCTACAAATATTCTCCAAATTAAATTCCTTCAAAATATTATATAACACAACAAAATTCTCAAATTTACTCCATAAAAATAATTAATTCCCTCTAATTTCTTACATTAATATAACACCATTTCACAATTTAAACTATTGCCTCTAATTTCCTTAATTAATATCACATCTTAAGTTACTACTCACTAATTCTCTAAAATTCTCCAAAAATATTCACTACTTACTTTCTACCCATAAAAATCATGCATGCATGCTCCAAAAATGTAACATAAAATATTAACCATATATAATAATTTTTCTGGACCAAAATAATACCGACTCCCGGACCGACAATACTATTCACAGACAGATAAACTACTATTTCAACACAGGAAAAAATAGGGACCAAAATAATACCGACTCCCGGACCGACAGTATTATTCACAGACAGATAAATTACTATTTCAACACAGGAAAAATAGGGCGTTACATTGTGCAAGTGTTCGAACATCTGTAAGAAATTTGGAAAATTGCCGATATTTGGTTGAACAACAAAAAATTGCCAACAAAATCTTGCTTTTGGACAATCAACAAGAGCATGGGCTAACGTTTTAGCAACACCACAATAATCGCATCTTGTATCAAGCTCCATTCCCCTTCTTTCCAAAGTTGTTTTAATTGGCAGAATGTCTCGGCAGCACATCCAGAGGAAATGCCTCACTTTCGGCGGAATTTTTAGAGACCAAAGAGCTTTCCAAAAACCTGATTGCAAATAATCTTCAATATCCACACATTGAGATGCTACTATTTTGTATCCAGATTTCACAGAATAGATCCCTGAGTCTGTCCGGTGCCATATGGGCCACAATTCTGAGATTTTGTCTTTTTCTTTTTTTCAATTCAAAAACAGGTCTGATTTTAATTATGGGATTTATTTATTTATGGGCCACTTCTTGTATCCAATGTAGTTGCAACAGGTCATGCGACCGATTTGACAATTTGCTATATAAAATATAAAATATAAGTCAAACGAGCAAAAACTCAGGGGTTACTTATTGAGTTTATCAAAATAGAGGGACGCCTTAGATAATTTGGTCAAAACTGAGGGATTAGAAAGTATTTCCCCTTTTGAAAAAGAAAAGGAAAAAGAAACCAAGATATCAGAATATGGTAACTCTTTCTTTTTCTTTCTATCTTTTAAAAAATCTAATCCACTATAATAGATGTCTTTTATTTTTTTCATTATACATAACTATAAATATTCGACGATTAGAGTACTGATTTGTTAATACAAGTTTATCAATATTATTCCTTTTATCAAATCCAATTAAATTTAATATTTAATAAATGATGAGTATTAGGAAATTGACAAGCTAATAAGAATTGATTCAAATTGAATGGTTGCATTTCCAAAAACACTGTGAATGCGTCATAATTTAGTGGGTAGTGACCAAATTGATAGTGAAGAGCGAAGACCTTAAGTCTGTTATGGTCTCCAGTTCACTAAAATTCTTCATATAACTAACTAAATTATTTCACTTTTGCTCACAAATTCTTCCCAATAAATAAATAAACAAACCGTGTGGGCCCTTTTCTGTTTCAAACCTATGATGCTAACAACATAGCCAACATGTTTCTTCTTCTGCTTCTTCTTCTTGGACTGGAGTATAATGTAGAGATGTTTCTACAGTTTAATTATTTTTTCAGACAATGTTAATTTTTATGTGAATTAATTCGATAAAAGAAAGTGTTAATCTTTTTTATATAAAAATTTAAACTGTCATAACATAAATTTTAAAAAATAACAAAAAAATTATTTAATATTTAATTTTTTTTATCAGAATTGTAATACAATTACTTATGCCTTTCGTATAAATATATATATTTTTCATATTCGAGTCAAAATAAAATAAAATAATTTTTTTATATATTAGAGTCAAATAAGTTGGAAATAATATTATTGATTATACAATAGAAGGTAATCATCGGCTCTAATGCATAAATTCACTATGGCACTTTAAACTTTGCCAAAGACCTATAATGTCCCTGAACTTATAGATTTTTGTAACATTATATCCTTCTTCATACTAGCAAGTAGCAATATAATTTTTTTTTTTGGTGTTTTTAACATTTATATGCAAAATATTCACTTGATATGCGGTTAATATAATTTCGGAACAATAATTTTCACATCTTTAAACTATCGAAAGTGTTTAATCGATCTAATTTTATAAGTATGAATATTCATAGAATAATTTTTATAAATTAGAAATATTTAATGGATACAGTTTTATAAATTAAAGTGTTTAATGAGTCAATATAAAAAAGTAAAGACGTATTAAATTTTTTTACGTAAAATATAAAGGTAAATTTATGCATTCTACCGTAATCATTACTTTTAAATATCATCGGTTAAATTTGTGAAAAATATCATG